CATTCCTGTAGAGCAGGCTAGTGTAAGTAAGGATTGTGCTGAAGAAGGGGATGTGCACAGGAGAGGAATAGCTTGAACAGGATCTTAGATCCTTTAAGAAATGAGAAGGGTTTGAAGCATTTACTAGCTGTAGATCAAAAGCAGAGAGAAAATGAGCAGCTGCTCAAACTTAAAACTGCATAGAGCTCCTGCTCTCCAGAATGAGGAGTAAATCTCATTGGGATCAGCACTCCTCATTGATCCATTTTTTTCCACACAGATCCCTCCCTCCGCCTATCGACCAACCCTTTGAACTCAAGCTGATCTGAGGACACAAGTTCCACAGTGGTTTTTTTTAAGTTAGGTTTATTTAGCAATAGAAGTATGTACATGTAAGAGAATCCCCTGCAGCACGAGACATGCACAAAGCAGTGAGGGACTGAAAGTGGTGCTGCTCAATGGCCTTCCGCATCACCTGTCATCCCACTTTACTCAGCAGCAGGGCCAAGATTAGAAAGGGACAGGTGAGAAATTGATCAGTCCATGTGGCAGAGTCTTCAGGCAAAGCCATCCCAGCAACCAGTATTAAAACAAGCGGGCGCCATAGCCAAATGTCTGTTTAATACCCTCGAAGTAGTAGCGCTGCCAGCCTTGCTTTGTTCTTTCCTCCTCGCTGGCAGGAACGCCCTTGCCTTCCAAGCACACCTCCGTCTCACCACCTTTGTCGGTGAAGTTCAAGGTAATAGTTGCAAAGTGCCCTGGAGGAACCAAAGCAAACCTGTCAGCAGTGTGCAGTACACAGTATATGCTGCCACAAAGAGCTGCTCTGCTCCTCCTCTCACACACCACCACTTAAAGACTCCTCAGGATCCTTCCCCAGGGGATCTATTTATGACAGCTGCAGGCCTTCCTCGCAAACAGGGAGGAGAGGGCTCCCTCTTCATGGGGTTCAAAGCAGTTGCAGCAATGGCTGAGCAAGCTCCTACTGCATCATTCCTAATCCCTGGCCACTGCTCTAAGTGGTGGCTGATGATTTCGACCTAATCATGTGGGATATGAGGCTGGGATAAGGCCACCGCAGCTCCCAGAACAGCGTGTGCTCCCCGATCATGAGCCAGAATGCCATGTGGCAAATGGGGCTGGAATTCTTCAAACACAGGCAAAGGCTGTAATACCACAGTCCATTTTCGGACTACTTACCAGCTGGCCACGATTTAAATCTCCATTTCATAACAAGTTGCTTCTCAGGCACCTTGAAAAGAGAGAGAAAGACTGAGCAGTTTGGTTTGTTTTTTTTCAAATTCTGCAATCTAATAGAAAGCAACTAGAACTGTGTTGATCTGAGGCCTTAAGAGACCCCTTGAGAAACACACACACAGGGGGAAAGAGATTCAAGCATCCTTTTCTTTCCACTCCTTCCAGGACAGCAGGCCATAGTGCAGCCCCAAACAAGAGTTTCCCTGCCCAGAAGACTTTAGTGGCAGGAGGACCAAAGAGGAAAAGGGTCAATTACTATCTTTAACATCACTCTAATGCCTAATATATAAATAAAATCAAAGACAGGGCAGATGCATGACTAGCAGCCAGATTTTCTCCCCAAACTGAAGTCCCATACACTAACTCATACTCTAATCCATACTATCGGGAATGTTTCTATAGCCACAGTGATTACAGGTAGCTGCTGGGCACCGGACAGAACTCGACAATCAGCTAACTGAAGCACTGTTACAGAACTGGTATCTCAAGAATAAAAAGGCTGCCTCTGAGTAAGATACACCTGCACTAGTTAGTACTTACTAGGTCAACAAACTCTCCTGTGACACTGCCATCCAGCAGCTGAAACTTGCCTCCTTTATCAGCCTCCAAGGTGGCTTGTGCGTGAGTGAAAGCTTGGACCATCTGAAATGAATTCAGGAGGAAACCTGTATTACTTGACATTATCAGCTTGCAAACTTGTTGCCTAATGCCTCCCACCCAGCTACAAAAGTTCATGAAGATGAGGTAAGTCAATAGCATAAGGTCTTCATCAAGAAAACACAAAAGCCCTGCCCTGGCCAAAAAAGAGCCACTACAGCAGCATTCTGCCTGCCAACGGAAAAGAACCACAAGCTTTCATATTCTACGCAGTGTTCTGCACGCCACACTTGATTAACTCTGTTGATTTCTTAATGAAACCTTGTTCTAAGAAAAGGTCGTATTTTTTGCTTTCATTTACTAGAAAAACAAAGGAGGAATGTAACACTCAGACCATGTTTAAATGTTTAAATAATGGTAACAAATGTTGCTCTTGCTTCTTACACTACTAATAGTCTGCAGGAGAGGGGAGCTATTCCCAAATTACACTTTGATACCACCCAATGTGAAGAGGAGAAAGAGAAACCAAACCAAAAAGCACACAACTGTAAATACCAAGAGATCTGCCCCCACACAATAACAGATACACCTACAGAGAGGTGCTGACAGCAGCCCAGAACTGGCTTCTGGCTGGCATTAATCCTCTCTTACCAACTGTGCGAAAAGATGCACATGTGAACTTTAAGCAAGCATTCTGCAGACCAACTTTCTTATTCCATTCTCATGGATTACTGAGTGCCCTACAGAATCCCTTAAAAGACTTCTTAGGAACAATCTCCTGTGTGCAAAGAATGAAAAAACAAGCCTGACATTACCTCCTGAGTAATGAATACCCGGTAGAGCTCTTCAGGGGATGTTAAGAAGGTGTCCTTCAAGTTGATCTTACACGTAGGGATCTTGACTCCTATGGATTTGGACTGCGATGTGGCAGTACTGCTGCTAGCAGCCGTCTAACAAAACAACAAGCAAAACACACACACACACATTCCTTTCTTCACCCCAGAAAATAAGTAAAATCAACAAGTGGTTCACATATCCAAGAGAAAAACACCAAAGGTCTTTACTAAAGATGTCGTTAGGTACCGCCATATTTGAGCATAAAAAGCAGATTTATCACTCTGCATGAATTAAGAAGTATCATGTGCTGCAAATCCAAAACCAGATTGCCAGTTCTTGAATATATATATCCTATAAACAGCACAGGCTGCTCCTATAAGCCTCGGAATGAAATACTGTGTACCCTTCTGCACAGATCCAAAAGCACGTTTTCACAGTTTTACTTACCTTGCGGTCTTCTGCTTTAGGAGCCACCTGAGGGGTTGTTTCCATATGTTCACCATTCACTGTGGGCAAAATCATGCCCTGGGTGAATTCTGGAAAGACAGGAATGTGCCCATGAAACTAATAAAAGATCAAACCGTTTAAATGTTCTTTGAAACACAGAATCAAAAAGGGCTTCTTGGTTTCTCCCCGGTCTTGCCAGCACCCACAGCTTGAAACAGTTTGTTTAAAAAAAGTGAACAGACCTCTTTATACAAGCAATTAGTTCTTCCTGCCCTCACTACTCCATTGAAGGCTGTACCTGAACCTGCCTATGCTGACAATTAGGAACTTACCTCCTATCCCCAGCCTAGACATACTGATCACTCTCTTTCCCCATGTTGCTCTGACATTAACATTAGCCTTACACTTACACAGCTTTTCTTCTCTGTCACTTTCAAATATAAATAGCAATCACATATCAGATACTTTTACCTTGCTGGTCTAGACAAACCAAACCAAGTTTTTCCTCTTCTTTTCAGACTGGCTCTCCATTTCTCCTATCATTGTAGTACAGAGTAAAGTTACTTCTAACTCCATCTTTGATTCATCTTTTTTGACACCAGATGCCAGAAGTACCTACACAGAACCCAAGAGAGGCCTCACCAGTGCCCTGTCCAGCAGTACTAGCACGTTCACAACTCCACCAGAAGCTTCAGCCTCTTTCAGCAACATGTTTGCTTTCTCTCCAGCTCTGTCACTTCTGCCTTTACCAGTTATAAAACAGTTTGCTCTTTCTCCTTCCTCTTCATCTGTTCAAACTGGCAACGTTCCATTACATAAAGCAGAATTATATAATTAATTATATAGCAGAATTCTATTACACGTATATACTCTTGTATCCTGCAATACTTGTTTCCCACCTATTTTTCTTTATTCCCACAAGATCATACAGTTCTTCCTAAATAACATTCTCATCTTCCACTGGGTGACTACATCTCCCACCCTGCACTCTAAAGAGCCTGAAATACCCCAGGGGTACAGAAATTTGATCCTGGAAAAAATGCAACCAGCGGTGCGTAGTACTCAGTAAAATGAGTATCTAGCATGTGTAGTGTAATACAGGTAAATGGATACAGAAGCAACTGTAGCAATCCCAGCTTGTACTAGAGGGCAAAGCCAAACTTCATCAAAGCACAATGATTTAAGTCCAACTGCTGGAATCAGATTTATCTTCTAAAAACATCATTTTGATCCAGATGCTGAAATAGCTCATTCAATGACACCAACAAAACCTACAGAGCAATTTCCAGTTGTCAGCTACTGTCAAATCCAAACAAAAATAAATGCCTTTACTAGCGTGGCAAAGGAGAAAAAACAACAATCTTGAGAGAAGATATCACCTTCCAAGGGACTAAGCAAACTAAAGGCCAGATTGTGCCACATGCAGTGACTGATGCTCTGTGTCACTGAGCCAGCAAATGCATGCTACTAGATTTATTTTCCCTATAGCGGAGCTCCAGCATGTGAAGGACATTCTCGGTTTTAAAACATGAGTCCAAAAATGGTGTTTTTGGATTACTAACAAAACAAATCTTTTTCAGCTGTGCTACAGTGTCTAGACACAGAAGTGCTTCTTGCCAAATGCTTACAATTTTCAAAAGAGATAGAAAAGTTACTGTTATTGCTCTGACACCATCCTGTTGAGATGGGGTGAGGAATTAATATTCACTCCTCTCATTACCCCCATCCCTTCTTTAGCATTAGCCCATATGGGTTCCCATAACACTTCTCCCTCTCAGCTACATACCTGTTTTGAGAGTGCTGATGTAAGTTTTCATTGCATCTCTAATTTTTTTTGCACCCTCTTGCTTCATCAAGGTCTTTAAGTTAGTGTCAGGCTCATCTTTAGCAAGGCTGACAAGGATCTAAACAAGAAGGACAAGTGCTGGTTTACAAAGCCATACTTGCATGGTCCTTTCATTACTCAGTTCAACATCACAGTTAGACTTTGGCTTCACTTTCACAAGCACCAGTGCAGTTTTATTAATCTTTCACTTCATTTCTCTCTGTCTACAGTAATGTACACAGGTACCTAAATACCTTCATGTTCTGTAGAGCTCTTATACGTGGCAGGGGGGTGGAACATGATGACCCTTAAGGTCCCTTCCAATCCAAACCATTCTATGATTCTACTAACTTAAGCAGCCTTTAGTACTAAAAAAGTTCCACAGCAATGGGCCAAAAAAGGTAATGCAGAAGGAAATATTAATGCTGTGAGGATTCCTGTTAGAACAGCCATATAGCCAGCAATATTAGCCTTTAGCTGTGCTTACCTCAACTTCATCGATGTCATTTTCATCTGAGAGATTAGGAATCTCCACATAACCTTTGTATTTCACCCCAGTCTTTGAGGTGCCTGCAATTACAATTATGTTGTTCAGATCCAACATTTCTTACTCGGGTTGTTCTAAAAGCAAACTTGTATTGTATCATAATACAATACTTTCCTTTATTATTTTTTCCCAAATGAGGTAAGTATCCTTATGTTATACTTGAATCTAGTTTTGAAACAGTGGGGGGAGAACATCACTCACCAGTCCATGCCAGCTTGATAGCCCACTCATAGAAAAAGATAAGCTTCCCTTTGCGGTTGTTAATGGAGGCCTCTCCATCCAGTTTGCTCACTTCTGTCACCTCACAAGCCCCTTCCTCACCCTCCTTCCCAAATGAGGTAAGTATCCTTATGTTATACTTGAATCTAGTTTTGAAACAGTGGGGGGAGAACATCACTCACCAGTCCATGCCAGCTTGATAGCCCACTCATAGAAAAAGATAAGCTTCCCTTTGCGGTTGTTAATGGAGGCCTCTCCATCCAGTTTGCTCACTTCTGTCACCTCACAAGCCCCTTCCTCACCCTCCACCCTGACAGGCAGGAGGAGAGT